ATATAACTGAATAAATTCTCTTTTGATTATACCTAACATCTAGAGGCATTAATAATAAGTAAAATATAATCTAGATATTCTGTCAAAATACGCGAGAGAAACAAACTTATATATGAGATAATTTATATCTTCCTCTTTTATTCGAAATTTCTAATCTTTTAGAGATTTAATGATAACTGCTTTTTAAGTAATACATATAGTAATGTTTTTTTAATCAATACTTAACCCATAACATTAAAAAAATTGGTTTTTTCTTTCGTGTCAACAAACGGCGACAAGAGAATAATATAATACATGCGGTGATAATATATTTGCTGTAAAGAAAAGTCTGTAATTATGTAAACATGAGCTAACGGTACTGTAATTATCGCACTTTCAACGAGAGGCTTTGCTTAGCGAGTTCTTATTCGTCCCGCGTGCGCCGTTAAAAGGAGACTAGGCGTAAAAGAGCGGACATTGGTCGGAGTAGAAACGAAGTTACGAATGCAGATTGCAAGTCACGATCGGAATGTCACGGTGCGCACGTGGGTTGCACCTTACGTTGCACCACAGCAGTCGATCGAGCCACGCCAGTCCAAGTCTAGAATCCGCTGTATCATTATCGTGTTTATTCCAATAGTTTCTATATTATTCTTTAAACATATATATAGACCATTGAGCGATGAAAAATTTTTTTAACGTTAGAAAGAGAAATATAATTCTTATACAGAATATTTCTGAAACAAGTGGCTTTTAAAAATCTTCTACCTAATTTAAAGATAAAAATGATCACAAAGGTTTTTGAAAATTTCTTTTCTGAATTAACATTTTTCTTTCTCTATCTCTATCACATAGTTTTCAAACTATTTGCAATTTGATTTTATATATTGTAACAATACATACCGATATGTAACATGACGTAATATGTAGAATTATCATATTATTTTATATATCTGTTTGTGAGATAATACAATGTTATTAACATCGAGAATTTTTTAATAAGTTTGATAGTCCGTTTTTTTTCAGGGTAACTCTAAAAATGTTTATGATCTTTTCTAGTTTATGTACAATTATCATGTACATTTAATTTTATAGATTTATTTATTCATTTTTTTATATCCACGTAAATATTATATATATAAAGCATGAAGGAGACAAATTTTCACATTTGTAGTCGGCGACTACGATAGTTTTACTACTAAAATTTTTTGTGACTATTTAAGAGTTTATGAATTTCACGGTCTTGAACAATACGGAGATGTTAAAGTGTGTCAGAAAAATAGCGATAAGAGGAATATTATTGTACGTGTTCCAAATCCTGTCTTAAGAAATGGATTCATTGTCTCCCTTAAAAAATAGATCCATAGTGACAAAGTGGAAAATCTCAAAGCTTAAACTTTATAAAGATTTGCGCGACACGTTTTTTGGGCCGATCTGTGAAAGAAATATCACAAGTGATTATGCGGGAAGCGATTTATGGGCGAATTTATATATATTATGGCATTGTGAAATGACAATGGTGTTCACAAAACGACAAGGTATTTTTCTGAGCGAGCAAACCTGCAATGTAAACCTGCAAAAATTTTAAAGGGACCTTTAAAACGAGTTTCGTAGACTTCCCTTTCTCTCTTTCTGTCTTTCAGCACATTTAGATCTTTAAAGAAATACGGCACGTTTTTACGCCTTTGAGAGTTCAGGTAAAAGGTTCGTTTGGTCACTCTATAAAGTATACAGAAAATTCAGTGAGAGATGCAGGAAAACAGAGAAAAGCTGCTTTCTTTCGTCAATGCGTTTCAGTGTCGCTATTATTATTCCGATGTTGAGAATGTCAAGTGCACTTTTGAGTATAAAAATGCAATAATATTTTGTTTACACAATGCAGTAATATTTTTAGATCAATCATATAAGTATTATGCGTATGACATGATTAATTTTATTTGAAAAATTCAAAAATAAGCATATTAAAAACCAGTGTCTTTAAGTATTAACAGATATTTTAAAATATTTAATTATACGCGTTTTGAAAATGTTAAAATTGTCTTTATATTACAATATTTTTTTGCTTTATATTACAATATTTAATTAATGCATTACGCAGTTAGAGTTTCAATGATATCATACCGCGGAAAAAAAACTGTCCGTTTTTATCCGTTTTTATAAAAAGCGAGAAAAATTGATGCGTAAATCAATCTTGCTTTTTTCATCGACTTTGTAGATCCGTGTATTGGAATAATTATAACTTTATTTAACTAACTAAATACTCTTCCAAGGATGTAGTTACGGTGATAACACTACCTTGTCAATTCTTCATCGGATTAAGTTAACGAGTCACGATCGC